ATATCTGCCTTGGGTAGCAGATGTGATGAAGTGTACATCAAAGTCCTGGTAATAGACACTGTTGAATCAGTAACATAAAAATATGTACACTAGATTATGATCATAGCACGACTGCTTTGAGATATTTTTCTTTTTAAAGCTCAGTTTTATCTCCCAAATGTAATAGCGAGTATTTTTAATGCACTAGCTAAAGAGGAGGTCATTGTTAATTTCTAAGGTATGGTAGACTTTTATTTCAGAAAGTATCACAAAATAGTTAATGTTAAAAGGAAGAAAATGGTACAGACACCATTTTATGGGAAATTGTTCCATCAAAGTTACTACCAGTGCTGTAGAGAAGCCATGCTAAGGCCTGATTTTCACATTCATGTATATTGCTTGATTTCTCTACACTTGATGACTTGGATACTTAACAACTGATATCTAGATGTTGGAGCCATTGCTGTTGAAAGGCCTTGCATTTGAAGTAAATGTCAGGTTATTCTTTCTGCAGTGTTCATTCTGCAGTGTTCAGTGATGATTCATTCATTCGTGCAGGTCATCACTCCAAGTCACACTTATCAAGTGATGGGCGAGGCATTTAATAATCAGGACCAAGCTGTAGCCTTTCATGTGAATAGGCTAAATCCCAGTGCTCCTAAATTCCAAGGTACTTCCTTGACTCAAGTGCAGATGCTCCAGCTGAAGTTGCTCATAGAAAACAGCAAGAGAGAAGTTTTTGAGAAATGTGCAAGAAGCATCGCCATCAGTTTGAACTTTTGAGCTCTATATGATATGGGCAGCACAAGCTTGCCCTACTGGACAGCAAAAGGAATTGGGCCTTTTGAAAGTTTCATTCTAATTCATTGGTCTGCAGTTGATGTACTGGAGCCCAGTAAAGTGTTGTGGTCTGATCCAAGGTGCGCTGCAACAAAAGTTATACTATCATAGAGGTATATGGTTAAAAAATAAGAAATAAATCCCCAAGAGCATTTTTTGGTTAAGATGGGTTCTATTTCAGAAAAAGATGAAGACTACCGTTCTAATACCCAGAAGGGTCAAGTTCCTTCCTCTGCCGCCTAATAATAATAATAATAATAATAATAATAAATAAATATTATTATTTATACCCTGCCCATCTGGCTGAGTTTCCCCAGCCGCTCTAGGCGGCTTCCAGTACATATAAAAACATAATAAAACATCAAACATTAAAAACTACCCAATACAGGGCTGCCTTCAAATGTCTTCAGTAGCCTGCTACTACCCTACCCCCAAGATAGACCATTGAACTACAGACCCCATGATCCTCAGTGGAAAAATATGCTGGCATATTTATGTGAGGATGTTGCACTACAATTGCTTGAATATTTGTCAGGATTGGTTGACGTCTAAGGTTGGATATTTGTCCTGTAAACAGAGAAAGCTGAACTCGCTAGTAAGCACAGCCAGAACCAAGAAGGTGGTCCAGAGTAAAACACACTTCTTTTGCTTCAGATATTATGGGATACTAACTAGTGCTAGGCAGTATTTCAAACACAGTACCATTTGCTATTTTAGTAAAGCTTTTGTGGAATTTCATGTAATGTTTTTTCTTTATTTCTAGTGACTTCTAGAAGCATCCCATTGCTCACTGGTGTATTGAAATAATTGTTCCAGCTGTGAAATTGCTGTCAGGATGTTCAAAAATGAATATCAGGTAAAACAGAAATGTTTATTTGTTAGCTTTTACGCAAACCTATAAACAAACCTAAAAAAAGAGCAAAATATTGAAAACGTTAGTTTGAGCTTTTAGTCTGAGCTTTTTTTTAAGCTCAGTGATTGATGTTCCTTTCTGTTTTATAACAGTCTAGATCTTCTTTGAAGACTTGACCAGGAGTCCACAAACCTTTTCTGGCTTTGATAGTTAGTCAGTTTCTAATCATTCCCAGCCCGTAAAGCTATATATACAATTATGCCTTTAAAGTGCATTTGAAGCACATTTTCCCTTAATGAACTCTGCTGCTTCCAGCTAAGATCCTGCTCCAGCCCACAAGCAGAACATGAGAGCAATAGCAGTCTCCCCACTTGTTTTGCTTGACAACGAATATTCAGAAGCATACCATTAATTTGTCTAATCCCTTTTAAAGCCATTCAAGTTGGGCGGCAATTGCATGCCCGTGAATTCCAAAGGTTTTTTTTGAGTGTTTTAAAACATTATTTGCAATGTTTTTAAATACTTGTTTTTTACTTTTTAATGCAGAATGTTAATATTTTATTTTATATTTTTGTAAACTGCTAGGAAGCTTTGTTGCAATGAAGTGGTATATCACATGCACACTCCTTTTGTCTGTCTTGAATCTTTCCTAATTCAATTTCATTGGATAACCTTAGTTTTTAGTATTATGAAAGGGAGAATAAAACTATTCATACTCCTCACAAAATGCACAATTTTATACGTTCTTGTTCCAGACTAAAATGAGCCAAATGTTTATTTATTACCAGCTATTTACCATAATTATACAACAATAAAATATATAATAAAACAATCAAAGCAGGAAAAGAAAACAAGAAAAGTGCAAAAACAGTTAAAAACAAGACTTCTTACCTGGTCAGTCACCACCAAATCAGACCCCATTTGTTCATATTTGAATTGAGGATTTTTCCTCAATGTGCATCACATTATACTTGTTCAAGCTGAGGAGCATTACCTCTTTTACTGCTTATTCACCCAGTTTCGATATACAGTTTACCTCGGGTTACAAACACCTCGGGTTACAAACACTTCAGGTTACAGACTCCGCTAACCCGGAAATAGTACCTTGGGTTAAGAACTTTACTTCAGGATGAGAACAGAAATCAGGCGGTGGCGGCAGCGGGAGGCCCCATTAGCTAAAGTGGTACCTCAGGTTAAGAATGGTTTCAGGTTAAGAACGGACCTCCGGAATGAATTAAATTCATAACCAGAGGTACCACTGCTCTTTTGGAGCTCTTTGCAATCCCTTGTTGTCACCCTGGATAATTTGGTGTCATCAGCAAAAGCACATCTTCTCCCATAAGGGGGGCAGCTGGTACACCAGCATTAGCAGATAAAAAGCACTTCTAATCACCTCTGCCACCTTGGACATCTGGGTGAATCACTCTTACTGCTCTTGGTATTTATATCAGGAATTGATTAAATTATGATTAAATTGTTGAGCAATGGGGTGAAAGAAAGCACAAGTGATACCACACTGGACAGATCATTGTTTGCTTTTCTTACAGGGTGGCCCATTTGTTGAAATCTTCAGTGCTCAAGGCAAGAACCCTGGAATGAAATGGAAGGTTTCTGGCAGTCCTTCGGTAATTGGGAAGGTATGTCTCATGCAGGAATGATAAGACCTTGGTATATAAACTACAGAAAATGTACATGAAACTTAACATTAGAAAGTAATAAGGGCTTTGACCTGACTGTGGAAGAGTTGTCACTTTCACTTCTTTTACTGTGACAAAAATAAATGACCACGGAAGTTAGCATTTCATACAGCTAAAAAATTCTAATGGCAGCAAGCTTAGAATAGCTTTTTTTTATTGTTACTGCTGGTCTAGTCCAGTCTTTTCCTGGCATGAAAATAGTGATGAGGAAAGGTTCACCGGCTTAAATTCTGCATGTTGGGTTTCTTTCACAAAGGCAGAGAAGAAGGGAACTAACAAAATAGCAACAACAACAATTTTATTTATACCCTGCCTATCTGACTGGGTTGTCCCAGCCACTCTGGGTGGCTTCCAACACACATAAAAACATAATAAAATGTCAAACATTAATAATAACAATCTGACCCAATACAGTATCCCAACTTTCAGCTCACAAAACAAAATAACTACTGAGTCCTGATAGCAGTCCCTAATCTCAATCAAAGACTGTACTCATTGTTAATGGCGAAAGCTCTAGAAGAGTGGTGGCAAACCTGTGGCCCATGAGCCATTTATGACTCTCCAGGATTTTCCAACCATTTGATGGTGAAAGTGATGTCTTTCTTTTTGCAATCCAGAGAATGAGTGCAACACATCATCCTCAGAGGGTTTGCCAATAGCAGATGTAGCCTTTGAGTTAAAAAGGGGTTACCCAGCCCAGCATTGACAGCCAATTCTGCTGCCTTTTGCTCGTGATAGGCTTCACAACCAATAAAAATCTTTGCATTTGTAGTAAATTGGTGTTTTGGGGCAATTGTTTTGGCCGCCCCAAGTATAATATCTTCTTTGTTGGTTTGATAGGAGTTCGATAAGCAAGTGAAAGGCTTTGTCTTTGTTCTTGAAGGAAGCAGTCAAACAAACAAGATGCAACTTCCTAAGGAAACCAGGCAAGCTCGTAAGTACAAATGTATTAAATATAGATGTAATAAAGGTAAAGGTAAAGGGACCCCTGACCATTAGGTCCAGTCGTGACCGACTCTGGGGTTGCGGTGCTTTAAGCCAGCATGCTGCAGAGAATAGCGTGTGATGCATAGATGGGGGAGAAATGAATTCAAGCCCTCACTTGGTTATTAAGCAGACTGGTTCACTTTCAGCATGACATACTTCACAACGTACCGGTAGTTAAAAGAATAAAATGGCAGTAGTAAGAACATGTACCCCACTCTAAATTCTTTGGAGAAAAGGCAGGATAAAGCTGTAATAAATATATCAGGCATACATGTGTCACGTGAACTCAGAAAATGGAAAGCCTCTTCCTTGTGAAGTCAAATGCTTCCCTATATAAAGTGCTTCCTTTCTAAGGAACCAAATGTCTTCCTTCCCTGTTGGTAAGTTTAGCAGAGTTGGCTGGCCAGAGGTGATCATATAGGCCCTCTAAAGATGATGACTGACAAATACGGGCACACATTGAAGAGGGTCTTTGAATTGTTTCTGTGAATTCTGTAAAAAGAGCTGTAATCCTGTATTTTCCATGTTTCTAGGCTTAATTAATTCTTATAAAATTCCTTTATAGGGGGAAATATTTCATATAATTATAGAGTTGGAAATGACCACGAGGGTCATCTAGTCTAACCCCCTGCAATGCAGGAATCCTTTGCCCAATGTTGGACTCGAACCCATAACACTGGGATTAAGAGTTTCATGCTCTACCAACTGAGCTATTAGATAAGATTCTTATCACAAGTTACCAAGGCATTCTGTTAAGCTCTATTGACCTTTCCTCACATAATTTCAACTATTATATTGTGGCTTGATTTGTATGAAAGGCTTGCCATATATCTATCTTCACTGATGGCTTTCTCTGCCTCTGTTTATTGTGCAACAAATGCATGGCACAATTATACTAGACCACTTCCCTCAAGGAAAACACCTGTGTTTCTGGGTTATTGCCATTTTCCACTGTGAGGAGAGACACTGCTTTCTTTCACCAGCATTTTATGCATTACTTTTTTCATATTTCCTCCAAAGTGCCCAGCACCAGATTCTTCTCTCCCACCATTTTGTCCTCACAGCAACCCTGTGTGGCAGGTTAGGGTGAGAGATAGTGAATGTCAGGGCAGTCTGATGATTTTAATTTGGATCTCCATCGTTCAGGCTGACACTGTAAGGTCACAGTAGACTGGCTTCAACAAAGTCAGGGCATAGAATTCATTTCAGATGCTGATGTCAAAACTTGCTAGTCTTCTGTATCTTGCATTGTGCCTTTAAAAACAAAGAAACCCCAGAACATAGTTTCTGAATAAGAAAAGATGAACTTTCCTTTGCTCTTAAATTCATCACATGTGAGGCAAACAGACACACGTACAGAGAGAGAGAGAGAGAGAGAAAGCTCTGGGGTTTGGAAGCAGAGTGAGGGCAGCATGTATTGCAAGTGGATGAGCTCTTAAAAACTATGCGCTGACAGCAGCTGTGAAAACATGTGCAAAGATATATCCTAAATAAAAGAAGGTACATTTTGAACATTAATAGTGCATTTTTTTATTTAGTGAGCTGAGAATTCTGGAAACTGAGAAAGTAGTATACGTCTATCTGCTAGTCATATCACAGCTTATTATTGTGCAAGTAAATATTTTTGGTGGTAGTCACAATTACAAATGGGGTTGTAGCAATGAGTTACAGCATAACTTCATAAGGAAATAGTATTCAATAAATATGTCATTTGTCTGTATTTAAAATGTTCATTTAAAAATGTTTGGCAGCATGCGTTTACGGTTTCTACTGCTCCTTTTTGCTCTCTCTCTTCCTCTGTGTGTGTTTTCTAAAGATCTAGAAAACGAGCCATCAATGATTTTAAAATGGCTATATTTTGCAAACAAAGGAATGATTATTTTAAGAATGTCCAGAATGCGGCCTAATAGCTCTGCTATTCTCATAGGCAAGAAGGATCTGCCCCCATTTCTTTCATGATGACATTACAAGTCAGCCTCTAGGCACTGCACGTTGTTTATTGCCTATTCGTTTGTTTTGTTTATGTTTACTTCAGATGAAATGTGTTAGAAGCAAATGTTAGAGGTAGCTTTTATTTCTTTTGACTGCAGTTTACATGGGCCTTTATGTCAAAATGGGTAGAAAATTATTTTCCGCACAGGGAAAGAATAAGCAGCTTTTTCAGCACAGATGAAATGTACTCTGAGCTGGTAGGGTGAAGCTACCACATGCGTATTTCATTTTCATGGAATTAAGTTGATTAGAATAATTTTTCCTTGAACATGTTTGGTAGCTTGCTATTAGGGATCTAACTCATTCATTGAGGCATATGGGAAAGCCCTTTTATTCATGGGATTCATGCACACAATGGCATGCTTAGGGTTTGGAGCAAGTGAGATAACCTGTTGGTTAACCAGTTTCATATGCATGTTAGTAGTCTTCATACAGAGCAGAGTGATCAAGTCTGTGTAAAGTATAGGCTGAACATGACTCAGCCATGGTACATGGCTGCTGAAAAAGCTAATGCAATCTTCGGCTGTGTTAACAGAAGTGTAAGGTTGTACAATGGAACCTCGGGTTACATACACTTCAGGTTACATACGCTTCAGGTTACAGACTCCGCTAACCCAGAAATAGTGCTTCAGGTTAAGAACTTTGCTTCAGGATGAGAACAGACATCGTGTTCTGGCGGCGCGGCGGCAGCAGGAGGCCCCATTAGCTAAAGTGGTGCTTCAGGTTAAGTACAGACCTCCGGAACGAATTAAGTACTTAAGCTGAGGTACCACTGTATACTTAAGTTAGTCATGACTAATGTAAGCCCATTGACCTCAGTGGGTCTACTTGGGGTATTTAGATAACAGGATGTAATAAAACTCTGCTCTATGCTGAACTGGACAGGCCACATCTGAAGAACTGTGTCCAGTTTGTGAGTGCCACATTTTGACAAAGACACTGGCGAACTAGAGCGTTTGTAGAGGGAGGCAACCTTTTCCACCCCTTCCCATCGAGGGACAATGGAGTGCACTTCCGGGATGAAGTCAAAGTGATAGTTTGTCCACCTTCGGTCCCCACCCTGCACTCAGCTCTCACTTGTGGCTCCTAGAAGCTGTCAGCATACAATGGGGGTGGGATGGGGGTGTCTCCATTGACACTGTCCAGGCTTACACCCCAGGGAGGTTACTTTGGTGCTGCTAATGCAGCGGTTTGTCTTCACCCCCGGAGGCGCAATGTGTTGTCTCTTGAGTTAGGTGGATGCCAACAACAACAATAATCTGGCAAAATCAAGCTAACACCTCTCATTAAGTTTGTATACTTAAGGTCTGTTTGTAATAGGTTTGTTTATAATTATATTTTGGGAATGATTCATGTTCTTACGTAGCTGCATTGTTTTGTACTTTCTGCATGTCCCACAGTCATAAAGTAGCTGTGTTCTGTGTCATAAATCAAGCACTGCTAGGATTTGTTTCTCCCCCCCCCCCCATGTATTGCTTATCAATAAAAAAATTCAGCGTGTCACAAGCAAATTTTCATTCTGAAAGTGGCTTACAGCAGGGGTTGGCAACGTTTTTTGAGGCCGGTTCGGTCCACTCCCTGGCAGACCTCTCGGAGGAGCACCCATACACGTGCGTAAACGCTATTTCCGGCGCACTTCCAGGACAGAGGAGCGCCCATGCGCATGCACACACGCTATTTCAGTCCCCACGGCAAGGGGAAAAAATGGCACCACAAAAATAAAAGAGCACGTAATCCCCATGCCAATCCACAGAATGGCCGTGGGCCAGTTCCAGGAAGCTCATGGGCCGGAAGTGGCCCATGGGCCTTAGGTTGCCGACCTCTGGCCTAGAGAAAAAAGTTGGAGAGCCACTGCTTTAAATGGACCGACTCCCTCACTTTCCAAATATAAATCCAGAAACAATAATTAAAATCTGTTTGTAGAAGAGAGGGAGGGGAAAATAAAAGTTTAACCTCAGGTTTCTGGATTTATCACTTAAGGTATATAGACGGTTGGAAATCAGACTCAAATTCTTAGGATTTTAATGAGAGGTCTCTGAGAGTATTTTAGATGCCGTCCGCTATCTTACTTTAAGATAATAAGCTGAGTTTAAACCTGTGGGGAGTGATCCCCAGGTCCAGGAGATAGATCAGCTGCTTATTCTGGAGAAGGTTGCATTCCCTCTACAATTACAGTTACATAGTTTGAGGGTACTCCAGGTCCAGTCTTTGTCACTTGAGGCACAGGTGGCCCCAGTATCTAGGAGCTTCATTTGCCAGCTTGGCTTGCTAAGACATCTAAGAGACACTCTCAAAATATCTCACTGCCCAGCAACTGTGCTGCTTAGATGGGACACTGATAGTGTACCATTTGCCACAGAGGTGCACTTAATGTTCTCATGGGAACCAGGCTTTTAGGGTTGCAGCTCCATCTCCCTGGAATCCATTACCAGCTGAAATGAGATAGACACCTACCATTGTGAAATTTAGGCACCGCCTATAAAGCTTTCTGCCATTTGAACTGTATCTTGGATTGGGATTTGCCATTTTCAGCTATGTGATTTGGTTGTCGTGTGATGTTCTGGTTAAAGTGAACATTCCAATATTTATTGGATAGTATTTTGTAATTACAAATTAACTTTCCAAACACTGGCTATATGAGAAATGAGGCGCTTTAAAGTGTGCTACTGCATTAATGCTTATGGGTTCAATTAATTTTAAATTTCTGCTGTAAAATTTTCAGATCTCTAAATATTTAATGCATCTTTAATGAGAAATGGAATTTTGAATTGTTTGTTGGCAGGGTTACAACAAAGTGCTCAGGCTTAATTTGAGAATTGTTAATTACTAAGACTGTTGCAATCTTTGTGTTAACAGCTTAAATTTGAATTACCATTTCCCTTGATTTTGCAGTGAACTGTAGAGTCATTCTGACTCTTACCACTTTGTATTTATTTAGAGATTTATTCTGTAGGCTAATTATCACATATTTAAAATCAAAACATTCAACTAGGCTTTAAAACTGAAAGCAAAAATGTATGGGTAAACAGCAGGCAAATGTTGGAGAAATTGTTTGAGGCTATGTTAAACTTAAGATATTGGGCTTGTTCTATTGAGTGCCCTTGAAAGAAGATTTTTGGTGTGAATTAAGGCAATCAAAAACTTATGGAAATTTTTTTCCTTGCAGTAGCACCTTAGAGACCAATTAAGTTTGTTATTGGTATGAGCTTTTGTGTACATGCACACTTCTTCAGATACACTGAAACAGAAGTCACCAGACCCTTATATATACAGCGGTACCTCGGGTTACAGACGCTTTAGGTTACAGACTCCACTAACTGAGAATTAGTACCTCGAGTTAAGAACTTTGCTTCAGGATGAGAACAGAAATCGCGCAACGGTGGCGCGGCAGCAGCGGGAGTCCCCATTAGCTAAAGTGGTACTTCAGGTTAAGAACAGTTTCAGGTTAAGAATGGACCTCCGGAACGAATTCAGTTCTTAACCAGAGGTACCACTGTAGTGAGAGGGTCTGGTGACTTCTGTTTCAGTGTATCTGAAGAAGTGTGCATGCACATGAAAGCTCATACCAATATAACAAACTTTGTTGGTCTTTAAGGTGCTACTGGAAGGATTTTTTAAAAATTTATTTTTTGACTATGGTAGACCAACACAGCTACCTGCCTGTAACAAAAACTTTTGTGATATGGACATAGGCAGCTGCCTTCTCTTGAGTGAGACCATTGGT